ATAAAGCAGAAATAGATGTTTTTCTGGAACTCTCTTGCTTTTTCGATGATCCAGCAGATGTTGGCAATTTGATCTTTGGTTCCTCTGCCTTTTCTAAAACCAGCTTGAATATCTGGAAGTTCGCGGTTCATGTATTGCTGAAGCCTGGCTTGGGGAATTTTGAGCATTACTTTACTAGCGTGTGAGATGAGTGCAATTGTGCGGTAGTTTGGACATTCTTTGGCATTGCCTTTCTTTGGGATTGGAATGAAAACTGACCTTTTCCAGTCCTGTGGCCACTGCTGTGTTTTCCAAATTTGCTGGCATATTGAGTGCAGCACTTTCACAGCATCATCTTTCAGAATTTGAAATAACTCAACTGGAATTCCATCACCTCCACTAGCTTTGTTCATAGTGATGCTTTCTAAACAGTGGAAACAGTGTCAGGCTTTTATTTTTTTGGGCTCCAAAATCACTGCAGATGGTGATTGCAGCCATGAAATTAAAAGATGCTTACTCCTTGGAAGGAAAGTTATGACCAACCTAGATAGCATATTAAGAAGCAGAGACATTACTTTGCCAACAAAGGTCTGCCTAGTCAAGGCTATGGTTTTTCCAGTGGTCATGTATGGATGTGAGAATTGGACTGTGAAGAAAGCTGAGTGCCAAAAATTGATGCTTTTGAACTGATGGAGGAGACTCTTGAGAGTCCCTTGGACTGCAAGGAGATCCAACCAGTCCAACCTAAAGGAGATCAGTCCTGGGTGTTCATTGGAAGGACTGAAGGACTGATTGGAAGTTCAGCTGACGCTGAAACTCCAATACTTTGGCCACCTCATGCGAAGAGTTGACTCATTGGAAAAGACCCTGATGCTGGGAGGGATTGGGGGCAGGAGCAGAAGGGGACGACAGAGGATGAGATGGCTGGATGGCATCACCGACTCGATGGACATGAGTTTGAGTAAACTCCGGGAGTTGGTGATGGACAGGGAGGATCATGGGGTTGCAAAGAGCCAGACATGACTGAGTGACTGAACTGAACTGATACTGTATAAGGCTGTGTCTTTCTGAGCTTTCTTCCAGCTTCCCCACTTGTGCCTTGCCTACCCTGGCATTCAGTGAACAGTGTGAACAGCGAGACAACCTGCAGATAAATATGAAGCAGAACCAGCCCCCCTGACCTCCCAACAGCCAGTGTGCCCTGAACATGACTCTAGAACCACAGGGTGAGGGCCAGATGAGGACATTTCCAGACCCAAAGGCGCTCTTCTGCTCTGGCTTTGCATGTTCCACTCATATCAGCGTGTCTTTCTCCCCACTTATGGGGCAGTTTGCTAACTTTTCTTTCCTAAATGTAGGTCCCATGAGGCAGGCCTTTCCTCTCCTGTTCTACTCTGCCCCACGTGCCTGCCTCCCGGCAGATCCTAGAGGAGTGTTTGTTAAGGAAGAAACTGTATTTGTTAGAGGAGAAACAAAGTGAGCAGCGGGGACTTCCCTGCTGGTCCAGAGGTTAGGAATCTGCACTTCCCCCACAGGGAACTCATTTCTGGTCCAGAACTAAGGTTCCACTGAAACCAAATACAGCAGAGAAAAGCAAGTGAGGACAAGTGCCTCCTCCTGATACTCACACCTGGAGGAAGTGAGCACTTGAGGTACAGACACAGGATTAGAAATAACAGCTACAGGAGAGGCACCGCTAATGACCAAGGATCAGTTAAGCTTGTATTAGAGCAAAATCTGTGACTGTTTCTCATAGTTTTTATTTGTGAGATATAATTTACATACCACACATTCCACCCCTTTAAAGTGTTACTACTGTCGACTGAGAAAAAAAAGCACAACCTAAAAGTTGAGACTTATGTTTCATTCTGCAGACTTTCTGAGGACTTCAAGCCCAGAAGGCAGCCTCTCAGAATAGCTCTGAGGGACTGCTTGGAAGAGGCAAGGGAGGAACCAAGATATATAGTAACTTTGAAGCAAAAAAACCAGGTGACCAGAACATCAAAAGTTTACTGTTAATTAAGGAAAACTGTACATTTCAAGTTAAGGAACTTAGTGCTTGTCTGTGTGTGGGAAGATGCGGAGTCTGGGTGCACTGAAGCCGGTCCTGTGATCTGCGATTTCAGCTCCCGGGGCCGCTGCCCCGTGCTTTCCCATCCTGAGTCCCCTCAGGGCTCACTGTCAGGGCAGGTGTAGTAGCTGGGTGGCCGCAACATCCTTTGTTCACTGACATGGCAGCAACATTGTCCATTCACGCTGCACTCACAGAGTTGGACAGCATCACCACAATCTAATTTTAGAATATCTTATCAACCCCTGAAGAACCCTGTCCCCATTAGCAAGCAGTGAACTCTCTCCCAACCTCCCCATACCACCCCCGCAACCACTAATCTATTTTCTGCATATGGATTTGCCTCTTTGGGGCATTTCGTATAAATGGACTCCTACAATATGTGATAGTTTGTGACTGGCTTCTTTCACTTAATGTTGTCAGGATCAGACTGTAGCATGTGTCAGAACCTCATTCTTTTTAATGGCAGGGCAATACTCCACATTTTGCTTATTCATTCATCTGTGACAAATGCCAGGGCTTTCCCCACTATTTGGCTATTATGAATAATGATGCTACAAATATTCTTGTAAATTTTTGAGCATGTATGTTTTCATATCTCTTATGCAGATACCAGGAGTGGACTTTCTGTCACATGATAACTGTATGTTTAACTCTTTGAGGAAGTGTCAAACTGTCTTCCAAAGTGGCTACACCAGTTTATATTCCAATCAGCAATATATGAAGATTCCAACTTCTCCACATCCTCACCAGCTCTTGCATTGTCTTCCATAAAAGTGGTTTGTGGCTGTCTGAGTGGGTGTGACGTGGCATCTCACTCGGTTTCGACTTTCCCTTCCCCGTTAACGCTAAGCATAGGTTCATGGGCTTGCGGGTCATTTCTACACCTCCTGTGGAGGAATGTCTATTCAGATAATTTCCTATTTATTAATCTTCTGTTACTGAATTGTGAGAGTTCTTCATGTGTTCTGCATATGAGTCCCTTGTCAGATATGCGATTTACAAATATTTTTTCCACTCTGTGGAGTTTTCATTTTGCAGCACAAATATTTTTAATTTTGATGATATCCAATTTATTTTTTCTTTTTGTCATTGTGTTTTTGGTAAATCTAAAAAGTTCTTGCCTCACCCAAGGCCCTGACGATTTACTCCTGTGTTTTCTTCTAAGAGTTTATGGTTTCAGTTCTTATATTTTGAATGACCCATTTTGAGTGAATTTTTGTGTACGGTGTAGGGAGGTGTACAGCTTCATTCTTTTGTGTGTGGGTGTCTGGTTGTCCGGCATCATTTGTTATAAAGACTCTTCTTCCCCTTTCCTCTCTTCCCCAACCCAGGCCTTGGTGCCCTTACAGAAAATCTGCTGAGCTCACATGAGATGAAAGAGAATAATATGATAAAGTAAAAGAGAAGGCAAGTAACAGAAGCAACCATCAGCTAATGAAAAAACAAAAGAGAATAAAGATAAATGAAGTTTATCAGTTGAAGAAGTTTAAAAAGTAAGCAAAGCAGGAAGAAGGCTCAAATAAAAATGAAAGCAGAAATTAATTTAGAAAGACAATAACAGAAAGATCTCTGGAAAGGTGCAAATATTTGGAAAGTAGAACACATACTTCCAGATAACCCAGGGCTCAAAGAATAGGACATTACAATCTATTTTCAACTGAATGAAAATATATAAAAATTTTCATTTTTATATGTGGGATGAAGCTAAAGCAGTACTTGAGGGAAATTTATACCATTAGAGTCTATAAGTGAAGTCGTTCAGTCGTGTCTGACTCTTTGCGACCCCATGGACGGTAGCCTACCAGGCTCCGGGTCCGTGGGATTTTTCAGGCAAGAATACTGGAGTGGGCTGCAATTTCCTTCTCCAGGGGATCTTCCCAACCCAGGGATCGAACCTGGGTCTCCTGCATTGCAGACAGATGCTTTACCATCTAAGTCACTAGGGAAGCCCCTATTAGAGTCTATATTACATACTAAATGCCACAGAACTATACACTGAAAAATGGTTAAAACTGTATATTTTATTTTAGGTACATTTTATCACAATCAAAGAAGAAAGTCCTCCACTTAAGGATCTCAGTTTCTACCTGAAGAAACTGAAAGAGAAGAAAGAACATATTAAATCCAAAGTGGAATAAAGTAAATAATAAATATCAATGGGGGAATGAATGAAACAGAAAATAATAAACCAAAAAGAGAATAAATGAAGTCAGTTGGCTCCTTGAGATTCATAAGCATGTGGAGACCTGGGATCAGCTGTCCCCTGAGACCACAGCCATTCTGTCTGCTCTGAATCCTCCCTGCCATGTACAATGCCCCTGTCCTGTTCCAGGGGCCTGACAGGTAGCCTGTCCCCTGACACCACCCTTGCCAAGGCATGGACACTCTCATGTAATTTGCAGAACAAGTGAGTTTCTGTTGAAAGTTTCTGTTGAAAGGTATCCCAAAGCCCCCCTGGGATACCAACCATGCTCCAAATCTAAACTAAAAAGTCATGATGATGGTCAGATATGATTCTGGAGGGTCAGAGTGCTGTGTAACCCTGCTCTGGGCTGATTCTGGACAGGTTCTTGCGAAGAATGGAGAGTGTGTGTTTGTGTGTGCGTGCATGCCTGTGCTTGTGCATTGTACACAGATGTGTGACTATGGCCTCAGAGGGAGACTCAGTCCCCCCTGGGCACTCTCTCACCCGTCCCTCCTGGGTATTTTCGCACCTGTCCTTCCTGGGCACTCTCTCACCTGCACCTCCTGGGCACCTCTTACCTGCTCTGGTGACCCCTTTCATGCTCTGTTTGGTTCTGTATAGCCCAGGCCCCCGGTAAGCTTTGGGGAGCAAATTATCAGTCACCAATTCTCAAAGTGCTGTGTTTATGGGTTTTTTTTTTCATTTCACGGGTACCTTTAAAAATCAAAGATCTCAGACTCAGCCCAGATGTGACGAGGGACGATGGTTGTGGAGCAGCAGGCCCTCGTCCTGGGGGCTAGGTCAGGGCTGGGCTGCCACTGGTCCTGGTCAGTGTTGGGTTAAGGTGACTTTTGATCCGGGGTCCCCGCTGTGGAGCTTCTGCCCAGTAAGCCCTTACCATTCTCGAGCTGACAGCTGTGAGCCTCTGACCCCGAAGGCCACATGGCCGTCTGTTTTGTGACAGGAGGGGCTCGTCTGAGATGCACTTGGCTCTTGTGGGGCCCCAGGGGTCCAGACAGTGGTTCAGGGCTTCTTTCTCTAGAATTCAGCTGTTCACGGCACCAGCCATCTCTTTGCACGGCAGGGAGTCCACTAATGCGTGTGCAGCCATGTGAACCCAGAGATAACCCTGACAGCAGGGGCCACCAGCCACCATGATCTCTCTGCAGGTCGGTGAAGAGAAATAACCCCGAAGGGCTTTCAGCAGTGGGCTGGGCTCAGGGGTAGAAGGCCTGTCACTCTCCCAGGGGCTCAGCCTCTCAGGTTTGCTTTCAGCTTAGTCAATTTTGGCACCGTGAGTGTGTGCGGCCACACAGGCTCAGCGTGGGGACACAGCCCCACACCTCGGCCACCTGTGGGCCCAGAGGGGATGCCTTCTGGGCATCCCCCACCAGGACCCTGCTTCTTGGTGACCCTTGGACCCGGGGTGCGGCCTGGGCTCATCCACTTGGGCCTGCTGGGGATTCATATTCCTCCCCATGCATGAGCAGGGTCTGCTGGGCTCTGGGGCCCCTCCACCTTGAGGCTGACTCTCAGGAAATGGCCAGTGGTTGGTAACAGGAGAGGAAGGAGGGCCCCAGCAAGTCAGGACCCAGCAGACACCCAGCAGACGCAGGTCCAGTGGAGAGTTTATCAGCAAACTTGCAGGGAGCTGTGGCACCCCCGCGGAGGGGTGAGGTGGGGTAGGGACTCCTGCTCCCTTTGATCAAGATCAAAGCCAAGAGCCAGGAAGCCCATGGTTCTGTCCCTACAGGTCAGCCTCCAGGACAGGGAGGTGCATGTGGAGGGCAAGTGGAAGGTGTCCTGCCTGGTCACCCCAGGCCAGGCCAGAGAAGCTCGGCAGCCCTGCCAACCTGGGCTAGTGTCAGTTGTCTGCCCCCACAGGAAGGGGCCAGGTCCCTGGGTGGAGCCGTCAGAGGGCAGAGGGTGTCTGATGTGCTGGGGGTGCCTGTGTGCACCCCTCACCTTCGGTGAAGAACAAGCTGACTGTACTGGGAGGGGGGAGGTTCCTGGGTGAGTGAGAGGGGCAGGTGTGAGGATACTTGTTGGGGGGAGTCAGAGATGCCCAACAAGGATTGGGGGGGGGCCACTGGGGGCTGCTGCCCTTGCCCAGTCTGCAGATCTCTCCCAGGAGATTAAAGCTTATGATCTGGTCTCTGTCATGGCCCACAATGTCAGTGAAACGCTGTGTCCCAGAATCCAGCTGTGAACAGCACAGTGTGAGCGTTTGTGTGGTGATTGCTCTAATTTCACAGGAAATGTGGCAACTACAAAGTGACCCCAGGCAAAGGCCAGGAGGCTCTGGACTGGACCTGAGGAAGGAGGCAGGAAGGAGGACCTGAGACCCTCCCTTGGGGCACGGCAGCAGGGATACCACAAGCATGGGTTTGTTGGTGCTTAGCTTAGACACTTCCTTGTAGTATACAGCCTACCCGCTTAGACACTGTATACTATACAGCATATCAGCTTAGACATTTGTTTATATTATACAATATATTTCAATTTAGACACTTTGTATTATTCAATATATATCAACTTATACATTTGTTTCTATTCTACAACATATTAGCTTAGACATTTGTTTATATTATACAACATATCAGTTAAGACATTTTATATTATACAACATATCAAGCTTAGACACTTGTTTATATTACACAGCCTATCAGCTTAGACACTTTATGTTATACTACATATCAACTTAGACATTTGTTTATATTATACAATATATTTCAATTTAGACATTTGTTTACATCATTCAATGTATATCAACTTATATATATGTTTATATTATACAACTTATATCAGCTTAGATATAGACTCTTGAGAGTCCCAAGTCTCTTGAGAGTCCCTTGGACTGCGAGGAGGTCAAACCAGTCAATCCTGAAGGAAATCAGTCCTGAATATTCATTGGAAGGACTGATGCTGAAGCTGAAGCTCCAATACTTTGGCCACCTGATGAGAACTGACTCATAGGAAAAGACCCTGATGCTGGGCAAGATTGAAGGCAGGAGAAGAAGGGGACAACAGAGCATGAGATGGTTGGATGGCATCACCGACTCGATGGACATGAGTTTGAGCAAGCTCCGGGAGTTGGTGATGGACAGGAAAGCCTGGCAGGCTGCAGTCCATGGGGTCACAAAGAGTCAGACACGACTGAGTGACTGAACTGAACTGATATCAGCTTAGACACTGTTTTTATTATTCAATATATCAACTTTTACGTTTGCTTATATTATACAACATATCAGCTTAGACATTTGTTTATATTATACAGTATATATCAAGGGAATTCCAGAAAAACATCTACTTCTGTTTCACTGACTATGCTAAAGCCTTTGTGTGGATCACAACAAACTGTGGAAAATTCTTAAAGAAATGGGAATACAGGACCACCTTACCTGCCTCCTTAGAAACCTGTATACAGGTCAAGAGGCAACATTTAAAACCAGATATGGAGCAATGGGCTGGTTCCAAATTGAGAAAGGAGTATGTCAAGGCTTGTCACCCTGCTTACTTAACTTATATGCAGAGTACATCATGCGAAAAGCAGGGTTGGAGGAATCACAAGTTGTAATCAAAATTGCCAGGATAAATATCAGCAACTTCAGATATGCAAATGAGACCACTCTAAAGGCAGAAAGTGAAGAGGAACTGAAGAGGCTCTTTTTTTTTTCTTTTCATTTATTTTTATTAGTTGGAGGCTAATTACTTTACAATATTATAGTGGTTTTTGCCATACATTGACATGAATCAGCCGTGGATTTACATGTGTTCCCCATCCCGATCCCCCCTCCCGCCTCCCTCCCCATCCCATCCCTCTGGGTCTTCCCAGTGCACCAGCCCTGAGCACTTGTCTCATGCATCCAACCTGGGCTGGTGATCTGTTTCACCCTTGATAGTATACTTGTTTCAGTGCTATTCTCTCAGAACATCCCAACCTCTCCTTCTCCCACAGAGTCCAGAAGTCTGTTCTGTACATCTGTGTCTCTTTTTCTGTTTTGCATATTGGGTGAAGAGGCTCTTGATGAGGGTGAAAGTGGAGTGTGAAAAAGCCAGCTTAAAACTCAACATTCAAAAAACTAAGGTCATGGCATCTGGTCACAACACTTCATGGCAAATAGAAGGGGAAAAAGTTGAAAATAGTGACAGACTTAATTTTCTTGGTTTCCCAAATCACTGCGGATGGTGACTGCAGCCATGAAATGAAAAGACACTTAATCCTTGGAAGGAAAGCTATGACAAACCTAGATAGTGTATTAAAAAGCAGAGACATCACTTTGTTGACAAAGGTCCATGTAGTCAGAAAGTGTTGGGGCTTCCTTGGTTACTCAGATGGTAAAGAATCCGCCTGCAAATCGGGAAGCCTGGGTTCGATCCCTGGTGATGGGAATATCCCCTGGAGAAGGAAATGCTAATCCACTCCAGTATTCCTGCCTGGAGAATTCCATGGACAGAGGAGCATATTTAAGTTATCTGATAGAAGTCGTTTAGGTTGACATTAGTGAGATATAAACTTTTTTCTTTAGAAACTGTCTATACATAATCTGTGCAAGAAATACTGACCGAACAAAGACACGTGTCCACAGCTTTGCATGGTGGTAAGAACTAATCAGGATGTGCTGCATCTCGTTGTGAAACCAGTACCCCCACCACCATCCACTACTGCTGGTCTTGAGACAGTTGCCTTTTATTCAAGTGGACTTTACTTCCCAGCCTACATCACAAGGATGTGGTGAGGATCAAGTATAAGGAAATGCTTTGGAATCTTCAAGGCAGATACACACTCCATCCAGCATCCGTCTGTCCATCTGTCAACTCTCTGTGGAGGTCCTTTAAGCCCTTTGCTTGCATCATCCGCATACACGCTCATGAATGTGGTGCCCACAGAGCCCTCAAAGTCACATTATCCCTCTTTACAGATTAATAAATGGAGCTTGAAAAGGTTAAGAGGTCTCCCCAAGGTTACCCAGCTGCCAGGCAGGCACCAAAGTGACCATGTGTTGTGACAGGCACTGGAATAACGGATGGTGATTTTGGGTGTGTTAAGAGAAGGCCCCTTGTGGGTCAGGAAGGGCTGGGGAGGGGCAGACATCAGCAGGCTTCCTCACTGCTCTGAAGTCCTTGATTTCTTCCTCATGTACGAACCTCGTTTGAGCTGTTCAGCTCCACTACACGCAGCCCAGAGGCCCGTGAGTAATGCTGGAGGAGTTGGGGCCTCTGGGGAGAGCACAGAATCAGGTTTTCAGGAAGATGGATCACAGCAGTGAGGAATAATATAAGTGTGGCCTGGGAAACATGCTCCATTTTTGAAAGACTAAAATGCAATTTTATGAGCTCACACTGAAAGTGAGCAAATTCCGTTCCATACAAGAAGCTTTTTGTGTGGATTCAGAGCAAAGTGGATTATGGTGACGATGCTAAGGGTGATCTTGATGATGATGGAGGGCGTGCTGATGACAGTGGCTGTGAAAATGACCACAGCTTATTGCTACTTTGGGCCAGACTCTATATGAGGCTTCGTAAAACAGGTATTATTATTCCCAATGTCACAGGGAGGGAATGCGCTACATATTAAAAAAATACACAAAAGTGGAGGTTTAATGAAGCTGTAACTGGAATAAATGTGTTACTTTTTAATGTACTAGGACAAAATTAATATTAAATAACTTCTACTAAAATAGATAAATAGGAAAACATGCCATAGCCCTCAACAATGTACTACCTTTTCCATCCAAAGACAAAAATTCATCTCCAAAATTCACCCCCCGCAAAGTGGGGGCAAGCATAATGTCAGCAT